CTCAGGTTGGAATAGAGTGTAAACCAGACTTTGATCAAGAAGAAACCAACGGGAAGCCTTCTTTGATACTTTGTCCTCAGCTTCTTTCTACCAGAACCAGTCTGTGGGAAATAATCTTAGGAGAGTTTCAGTTTGGTTTGGTTTGATTTGATAAAGGAGTAGCTGCTTATTACATATTGGGACTAAATAACCAAAGTTCTTTGTGGCTTAATGCGCTTTTCCGGTCTTTTGGTGACAGGTTTCATGGACCCAGGCACTACGGACCATAGTTAAAAACTGTTATAAACAGCATGGGCGGGAAGACCTTTTGTATGCCTTCGAAGACCAGCAAACGCAAACACAGGCCACAGCCACACACAGTATAGCTCATCTTGTACCGTCCCAGACCGTAGTCCAGACCTTTAGTAACCCTGATGGCACTGTCTCACTTATCCAGGTGAGTAAACCTGAGGACCACGAGACTGTGGTTTCTGAGGTGGATCAGTGGGCGTCTCACCTCAGACTGGGGAAAGTTTCCTTGGTGCGAACTCTTCTATGAACTTTATATAGCTCCTCAAGCTCTTCCTACCTGAAATTGATTTCTGAAGAATAGTTTAAATTCTTTGCATTTGCTAAATACAGAGCTATGAGTAACTTTCATGAACATTTCCAAAACAAAGCACTTTTAAAGGGCTTTTTTTTGTTGAAACAGGATCTCTCTCTGTATTTTATTTTTTAGTAGAGACAAGGCCTTGCTATGTTGCCCAGGCTGGTCTCAAACTCCTGAGCTCAAGCAATCCTCCCACCTCAGCCTCCTAAAGTGCTGGGATTATAGATGTGAGCCACTACACCCAGCCTTAAAATGACTTCTGTTTTACAGTTTCAGGGAATATTAGTTAATGATCAGGGAATATTCCTTCTGAGTTACCTCTTCTGAGGTAAAACACAATTCTTTTTTTTTTTAATTTTTTTTATTTTAAGTCAGAGTCTTGTTCTGTTGCCAGGCTGGAGTGCAGTGGTGTGATCTCAGCTCACTACATCCTCCATCTCCTGGGTTCAAGCAATTCTCCTGCCTCACCCTTCCCAGTAGCTGGGACTACAGGTGCGCACCACCATGCCCAGCTAATTTTTGTATTTTTGGTAGAGACGAGGTTTCACCACGTTGGCCAGGGTGGTCTCAATCTCTTGACCTCATGATCTACCCGCCTCAGCCTCCCAAAGTGCTAAAATTACAGACGTGAGCCACCATGCCAGGCAAAACACAATTTGTCAATTGGGAACCTCTAAAGTTCAGGTTGGGGTGAGAGTAAGAGTTGGTTGACCAGCAGTGGGCGTGGATGTGGTGATGTGATAGCTCTTCTAATATTAACTTATTTGGTTGAAGTAAAATCCTGAAACTTGTGATAGTCTATGAACTATAATTTTAGTGAGCTCTGATTTTAGACTTCACATCATAAGGCATATTTATTGTTATCTGTGCTGAATTTGGGATTAAATGAGTCTTAGCTTCTGAGTAAAGGAGAGGTAGAAGGATCCATCCACTGACACTTACCACTTTCCATATTTTTCTTTAGGTTGGTACAGGGGCAACAGTAGCCACACTGGCTGATGCTTCAGAATTGCCAACCACAGTCACCGTTGCCCAAGTGAATTATTCTGCCGTGGCTGATGGAGAGGTAAGAAGAGGATGCTATCTGCATCTTCTTAAATATTTGAATGTATAATGAGGGAGAAGCGAGGATCCAGAAGATGGAGTAGTCTGAACGTCTGCAGCACTCTTTCATTTAAACCTTTTGAAACATCAGACCATGAAAGTTTTGGAAAGTGTCTTATACTATGTGTATTACTTGTAACAGTCAAGATTCATGGATCATTATGACTCAAACTGTCAGGAACTTAAAATTTTACATTTGAATGTATAGTGTTTGATATGATACACAATACAGAGAGATTATCCCTTTAATATTTTTATGCTGTGAATCCCAAAGAATTTCATCTTTGGTCTTTATGAAACAAAAATGGTACATTAAAACTGGAACTGCCTAAGGGAAACCTTCTTTGAAGGGAAAAACATATTTGCAAGTCAGTAACGTGATTTATGCCTTTGAAAAGATTTCTTAGAATCTGTCCTTACCAAAATTGGGGTAATTATGGGACGTTAACCTAAAGACAGCCAACCTTTATTGATCACTTGGTGGGCTAAACACTCGACCCTATGGAGTACAAGTTCTGTTATCATCTTCACTTTAAAGATGAGAAAACTGAAACATGCTGAGCTTAGGTGATTTGCCCAAAGTCAGAGCAGTGTTGAAGCTGGATAACACATTGAGAAAAACGTTATCTAGTCTCTGAGCCATTGGTAAGATTCAACAAGTGAAGGAAGGGGTTTGTTAACATCACCATGAGTGTTTCCCCCTGAAGATACAGGTGTGGTGTCCTGAAGTTTGAAAAACAGACAACAGATGTCAAAGAGCAGTATCAGGAATAAAGCTAAGAGTATTATGTCACCCTTGCTGAGAGCCATGGAGCATTTCCCCTTAGAACACCACAAAGTCACTTTCATTTGTGCTCCTCAGGAGAAGGGGAGAACTGGCAAAGGCCGCATAGCTGGGAGATGGAGGGAGAGTGCACTGCAGGCTCCTGGGCCAGCCTGCACGTACCAAGCCTCTGTGTAGTAGCAGTTGTGTAGAGTTGATTCGCACAGGATCTTTGCTGTCATGGGACTCCAGTCTAGTGGGGAAGAGAGATATCTACATAAATGAACTCTAGCCCTGCTGTAAGGGATGCTGCAAAGTGTGTGTGCCTCCTTTGTACCTAAGGAGCCTGGGAAAGTTTAGGACACTGAAAAACTTGGTTATTGGGTGAGGAAAGGTGAAGGTTGACAGGACATTTATTTTCTAAGTATAAAAACATCATTAAAGGATATGGATTAGCAAAGCAAAGGATTTGTCAGTCCTGGCAGACTAAACGCGATGACACTCCTTTAAGTCTGAAAGAGGTGGAAAAACAAGGGTACAGTTAGGAGATTTGTTTGTGTTTGGCTTAAAGTTATCAACCATATCTCTCTACTGAATGTTTCCTGGCACTATTTAAAGAAAGTAAGTTTGTATTTCCTTTAAAAAAATTTTTTTGACACATAATATGTATAATGTATTTATGGAGTTGTGTTTCTTTTCAGAGTCTCGCTGTGTTACCAGGCTGGAGTGCAGTGGTGCAATCTCAGCTCACTGCAACCTCCGCCTCCTGGGTTCAAGCAATTCTCCTGCCCCAGCCTGTCGAGTAGCTGGAACTACAGGCGTGCACTAGCACGCCCAGCTCATTTTTGTATTTTAGCAGAGACAGGGTTTCACCATGTTGGCCAGGATGGTCTCGATCTTTTGACCTCGTGATCCGCCTGCCTCGGCCTCCCCAAAGTGCTGGGATTTCATGCATGGGCCACCAAGCCCGGCCAGAGTTGTGTTTCTTAAACACTTCTCTGGGACTAAGTCCATGAAATATACTTTGCTAAATAAGATACAAAAGTAATCAATGTATTCAGATATTCATAGAAAATATTTTTAAAATCTCAGTTGTATGTCTGTGGCTTTTCTGGCATACCAACATCATTGTTAAGCCAGCTATTGTGGAGGTTGGTGAATGACATATATAAAGTTTTCATAGCCTTTTGGTAAATACCTGGATTCAGTAAGATGAAAAGAAAATACTCTTCCTATACTTAGAGTGAAATGAAAATGACAGAGAGAAAGCCTAGGTTATATCAGAAAGTGACATGTTTAGATTATATTCTGTTTCCATTTGCCATCTGATTTATCTTAGATGTTGACATAGTTGTTAGTTTTGAACCATAAGAACTGTAATCACTGGGCTGGGCGCGGTGGCTCACGCCTGTAATCCCAGCACTTTGGGAGGCTGAGGCGGGTGGATCACAAGGCCAAGAGATCGAGACCATCCTGGTCAACATGGTGAAACCCCGTCTCTACTAAAAATACAAAAA